CATATCATATCAACATCATCAACATCACATCATAACAGCATCATCATGATAGTGTCAACATAGCAACATCATTATCACATAGCATTAGCACAATAATACCAAGATTCGTTATCCGAACATTTAAACTAACACTTCATCAATATAATAGGCATAGAAATAGTATTTAAACATTTCACTTATTACTACTATGTTATAGCTCTGAGCATTAGCTTTCTAACATTTTAAACGGCTCGTCACTTGAATATACGTTAAAAAGATATAACAAAAATTGTCGAAAGATAAACAAGTTTCAAGTTCAACATTTCTTTCAAATATCAAAAACATCAACTAATTATCATGATCAGCCTCTAGAAGTAATTTCATTTGATAGTAATTCGTGTTAGCTTTCCAACGCTTCGAACAACACTCTAATTGGACTTACGATTACAAACTTATGGCCGAATTTTTTTTGCAATACCAATTCCAGGGATCTACTATGGCCGCCCGTAGTAGTGCCTAGAAAACCCCCATTTTTCTCGCGATTTTGTGCGATCCCCCTTATTTTTCAGCTTTGCAACAGATCTCAAACCCCATATTTGGATCTCCAACAACCCCAAAACATGTTATATCATATAATACATGAATTAAGCGAAAGAAACACATTACAACATCCAGATATACATAACCAAAAACTCAATTAACATAATTTTTCAACACATCCATCATGATTCGTTCATTCAACTCATGCCCTAAAATCATCTATATTCAACCCAACTCAAGAATACAATAAAAATTGAATCACTTACCACTATCATTCATGCCAATCTCAATTGAAAATCATTACTCCTCCTTACCTTATAATTCTTCTAGAAATTTGTTTTCTTCCAAGTCTATGGATGAATGCTCTCTTACTTTCTCCTTGCCCTAGCTTCTTTTCTCCTTTCTCTCAACTTTTCACGTACTAACAAAATAATATCTCACTTCTTTCTATCTTCCTTTTTTATCTAGTAACACTAGACCCTTTCTATGTTTTCTCTCATATGCCCTTACTTATCCTCATACAATTACCTCATTGCCCCTTAAATCTCTACACTTCTAATTATTTTATTTTCCTTTTTATTTTAATTGAATAATAGTATAAAACTATTGTTAACATCATATTCCCCCTAAACTATCAAATTTCACATATTAGCCAATTAATTTATTCTCCTCTAATATTTTTCTTCACTCCCAACTTAACAACACATAACCCACTATCATACAATAATAAAAAGCATCATGAAAAGACATATTCAACAAATAAAATATCAAAACATCTACTAGAAGAATCAGGGTGTTACACACAGCGCCATAGTCATGGAGCGTGACCAAGAATGGTAATTGTTAAAGAAGAGGAGTAACAAGAATTAAGACTGGATTCTCATTAGGATGCATGAAGTAAGGGTCAGTAGTATCAGTTTGATAACCTTTGTGATTGGCTTGTGAACTAGGTCCACCATTGTTGTTGTTGTTTAAGGAGCTTGAAGACGACGTCATGAAAAACACGGAGGAGGTAAAGGAACCGATAGAAACAAAGAATCAAACAGGGAGATTGATGAGCTTCAATCACAATGGAAGGATAGATTCACAAATTGAGGATACCATGTGAAGATGCAAGTTATGTAAGCCATGTCATAGGAAGAATAAGTCTTGGCTATGGCTTGAAGAAGAGGAAAGAGATAATAACATGCATACAATAATGAAGAAAGAAGAAATATATATTAATCACTCTCTCTCTATTACATGAGCAATATGTTTCTTATTTATTAAAGAATGTGTAACTAACTAACTAACTTAAAGATAACTAACTTAGAGTTAGTTATTTCTGTTTTGGCATGGTAGTTACATTGACATGTGCATTAGTTATATTGTCATCATCTCTATCAACATTAACATCACCCCTGAAGCTGATATGGATGTCAATCATTTCAAGTTTGGATTGAAGAGTGTTGAAGGGACCTGTATGTAAAGATTTGGTGAGAATATCCGCTACTTGTTCCTTGGTCGTGACAAGCATGAGATGAATGGTGTCAGCTAACAATTTCTCTCTCACGACATGACAATTAATCTCTATATGTTTGGTTCTCTCGTGAAACACAAAATTTGTAGTTATATGCCTGATGATTTGTTGTCATGGTAAATGATGATGGGCATTGAAGATAACTAATTTAGAGTTAGTTATTTCTGTTTTGGCATGATTGTTACATTAGCATGTCCATTAGATATATTGTCATCATCTCAACGACATTAACAATCTCTTAGATGCATGCACTTATGCATTTTGTTGTGGTTGTAGTTTCCATTCAAATATTGTGAATGAATATAATCTACACCTATATATAAAGGTAAAACATAATTTTGGTGTAGTCTTTTTTCTTTTCAAATATACCCTTTTCAATTTTTATTTTAAATCTTAACTTCTCTTACTAACAAATGATGGTTATGTGATTATGTATTAACTTTTTTACCATTATCTATTACTATTATTTTATAAATAATAAATAAAAACGAAAATTAAATAAAAATAATAAAATTTATATTTTACACGCGTGAGTATTATAAAAAGCAGACAGACGAGCACGTGAGTGCCCACGTACCTGTCTAGACGCTAGTGAAATATAAAAACAAAACACACACATAATTACTAGTAAACTGACCAAAATTACACAATAATATCAAATACAGCAATTATCATATCACACATAGAGATATTTACAACATATAACCTTTAATAGAAAGACATGACTCTAATATATGTTTGACTACTACAATTATTTATTATCACACCCATACCCCTATTACAGTTATTTTCACCCTTACCTTAATCAATGTCTTACCATAACATGCATTTTTGGCATAAGACTAGGTAGGAAAAAATAAGCCAAAAATCCTACACAAATAAATGAGACTATAATCAAAGCTTAGGGCCGTTTGTTTCAATTTTAAAAAAATGAGTTTTACTGTGTTATATATTTTTGTTAAAAAAAATTATAAAATAAAATTTGGTTTAAATAATTATTTTTAAAATATTATTTTAAATATTTTATTTTTATAGTAAAAATTTTTTTGAATATCAAAATTTTAAAAAATTAATTAGCTTTGAAGCTATTTCAAATAACTTTTTATAAAAATTATTTTTAAAATATAATTTTTTTAAAATATTGTAATTTCGACTATATTTATATATTCAATAATACATGCTTATGTTGTATAATGTCAAAATTATTATTCCAATTTCGAAAAACAAATTTATAATACTTTTAAAAATATTTTTATAAAAATCATTTTAAAATAAAAAAACTACTTTTTAAAAGTAAAACAAACATGACCTAGTCAACTAGTCAACTCTAAATCAATTGACAAAAGAGGTAGAACACAACAACTTATTTAAAGAGAAGAATTCACCAACCCAATATATTTGGCAAGGTTTCTAACACTTTAATTGAAAAGTGTGAATTGAGGATTGATGAGAAGAGTTATATAATAACTTTAGATTGTGGGGTTTAAAAGTTCTATTGGTGCCCAAACTCTAAGCAAATGGAAGATACCAAAAGAGTCTTTAAACTCTTGATTTTTGTAATTTTTCACATAATTTTTTTGATTTTGATTCATCCAAAATCAACTATTTGAGAAGGTTCCTAGAGATCTCTAGTAGAAGGCAAACTAATATTTATAATTTTCTTGGTTTTTTAATTGATGCCATTTCTTTTATTTACCTAGGTGTTCTTATCCTTAATTAATTGTTAGGAAAACTTTCCTTTCTTAAGGACACAGACAAATAGATTTAAAACTAAACTTCATATGATCTCGTGATAACAATCACATAAAACCTACCGTTTGTCATAAATATTGTACTTAATGAAAAGGCTTGGAATTAGGTCAATAAGAGATCCTAACAAGAAAGTTACTTTAAAACTAGGTTGAGATTTTGTTACATCAAATCAACAATAAACTACCCTAGAAACAAAGACTTATAACCTATCATATATTCTTCTTCCATTTAAAAAGGATCAAATCTTCCCTTTTTGTGATCAATCATAACCTTTCTAAAGGAAGCACTATAATTAGACTTGATAGTCTATAATACAAAATTGCATATTTTTTCACAATTAAACTATAGGAAAAAGTATTTTCATATACATATTTTATAATTAATTTGCAGTTAAATAAAATATCTTGATAAAAGTTTGAGACAACGCTGACTATAATAGACCGGTCTTTTAATAACGCTTAAAAGCGTTATAAAAATGCTATATATTTTTCTTTTCTTTTTTAATTTTGGATAATTAAATTAATGAATATTTAGCGATTATCCGTATACATATTTGTACATATATATGCAACTACATATATAGATATTAGATGGATACATAAATGTATGTTGCCAAATATCATATGGTTGGATCATGAGTTAGTTATTTTATATTGTGGTCCTATTGACAACATCAATATCACGGGTTGGCAAGAGCAAATAACCGAAAATGGCATGTGGGGTAATGTCACATGTAATTGGCACTGTCAACTTCAAAGCTTGACCCTTTGAATTGGGTCCACACAAAAATAAAAACCAGAAAAAGTTTCTCTCATAAGATAATTTTACTAACATCAAATCAAAATATTGCTGCCTCCAAATTTGAAAATTTGAATATCATACATTCTTATACATTATACAAACTCATCACAATTCATAATTTAGTCCATTTTATTTATAGCTATAGAAGCTAATGATAATGATAATGATAATGATAATAATGATAAGATATCATAATCTTACTAGAAATTAAGAGTCACAAACTAATTTAATCAAGGACTAACAAAGGTTATATAGTATATATATAGCCTCTTTCCTTGGTCTAGAAACCAAATTAAACCCTACTCAGATAAGAGAATAACCATAAAGTGAGACAAGGACATGCACAATACAAACAAACTCAAGAGTAGTAGTATAGTTATATATTATAGATATATATAACTAGACACTATTACATAAGTAAGCTCCTAATTATAGCTGCTTGAGCACTGTTGGAATCTGTAGTTTCCAAAAGTTGTGACAATCTTTCACTTAAATCATCAACTTCTCTATGCAAGTTTTTTATGTAGTTGCAAGTCTCTTGCAATACCTTAGAAGCTGAAACCTATAACAACACCATCAAACATTAATTATTTTTTAGCTATATACACACCCACTTGCAGCTAGCTACAAGCTAGCAATTAATGTAATAATACTACAACTTGTTGCTAAAGAAGAATATTGAGGAAGAGTGATAATAAACAAACATTGGCCACACAAATATGTGTAATGTGCCATTCTTATTGTGCATGTGATGACGACTTTTGAAATTTATAACCTTTTTTTTATAATATTAAATCAGGTATCTTCTGTACGAAACTGTATTGTATTGTATAGTATAAGAATATTTCGGTTGAATATAAGTTAGAAAAATGAATACCTTGTTGGAGCGGGTAGCGCGAAGTTCGGGGATGAGTTGTTGTAACTTGGAGATGAGATCAGTGATTTGAGCATCAGTGATCTCAGAGGAAGCACCGGATTGTCTAGAACGGGATCTTCTGCTAGACATTGTTGTATTAAGGTTGTAGTAAGTGTGTCAGAAACAGTTATAGTTGATGATGTTAATTTGTAGTTGAAGAAAATAAATAGAGAGAATGAGATAGGTTGGTTTGTTGGTTGGTTGTCAGAGAAGAAAAGAGAGAAGAAAATGAAGTGGAATGGAGTATAGGGAGAGAATAGTAGTATTTAAGAGAGAAATAAATAAAAGTGGTTATATGTTTATTTTGTAGTGTTTGTTGATATGAAGGAGAGAAGAGAAGTGTGAGGGAGTGGGTTGAATTGAAGAGGACAAGTGCATGGGAGAAAGAAGTGGGCTATGGTTGTTATTAATAGAGAGAATGGAAATGGGAGAGATAGGGAGAGAGAGAGGGAGAGAGGGAGAGAGATTAGGCCATACTGTCCTTTCTGAATGTGTCCCTTAAATAGGGTTAGTGTTCAAGTGGCTTAAGAAAATTGTGCTTGTTTATCGGGCTACGATGTGGGACCTCTTTCTGTCAGTCACACCACGCAACCCCATGTTATATTTCTTCCCATCATTTTATAATAATTTATTCATTATTCATATCTTTCTTTTTCTAATTATTCTCTATTTAACTTGCAAGATAGATACTTTCACAAATATGACTACAGAGTTTATTATATGTATGGTCTAACTATAGTAGATTTTTTTATAGGGGAAAATTTTGTTTGAGTTGATTTATGATGTTTTTCTTAACTATGCAAGTTTCAAGGCTAAGAGGATCTTTGATAAGAGTTGGATTAATTAATAGAAAATAATGTTTTTATAAACACTTTCTAACACTTTTTAATGCTAGACTTATGTGATACAAGTTTAAAATACTCCTTTGAGATGTCTTTATCATAGATGCTCTAAGAGAATAACAAAGAATATCCATACCAAAAAAAGTTCTCATATCAATAGCAATTAAAGAGTTGAATTGGTGGACTCTCTCAAAGGTAATGGTCTTTTCCGCCAGCTTCAGCTAGATAGATTTTCTACTAGAGAGAAACCATTATAACGGAAGGTTACTATTGTTCACAATGCCTGTTGAGACTTCAAATTCTAAAAGAAATATTTAATTAAAATTGTTATATTCTTAATTTTTTTTTGAACTTTTTAATATGCAAAATTGTATTCTGTGATCGATTTTATTTATCTTTTTAAAATAATATATTATCAGTCAAACAATTAAACATAATATTATCGGTCTTATTAATTAGCCATTGCTAACATTATAAGTATGTATATTTAAAGTCATATAAAAAAAATGAGATCTTGACATTAAAAGTTTGGATGAGTTTAATCTACCTTTACTTTCAAAGTAGAAGTGGAAAATTCTTTTGGGAAAGGAGGCTTTGAGGAAGAAATTATTAGAGGAGAGTGTTGCACCCTAAAATTCGTCCAACCTTTTCTTAACTTGGTTTATGTTTCATTTCATTTCTTTCTAGCATTTGCATTGCATAGCATTTTTCATTGAATAGGGGATCAAGAGGTTGTGCATAGCAGGAGGAGTCTACTCAGAGGGTTGAGCCTAAGCAAGGGGTGTTACTCAAGTTTGAATGGTCATCAGGTCATCTTGAAGAGGTCAACAGTCTTGTGAAAGGATGGATGGATGTATGTGGGTCAACTCCTAACTTGGAGGCCAGTTGAAGATCATCTGAAGTTTGTAAAGCCATGATTATGGATATAAGATGTTGAGAGAGCTCATTGAGTGCTTTGAGAGCTATGTTGTAGCTTATTCAAGTTGTTGTGTGATGTGAAAGAAGTCACAGTCAAGAATGTTGCATCTAGGGTTTTCATCTGGTCAACCTTCAGTCAACTGTGAAATTGAAGGAGATTAAAACTCAATTCCAAGTCTCTTTGGTCATGGGATGTTGTGTTAAGATACATGAGACATCATTTCAAGTTCAATTCATCAAGGATCAAGTGTGTGAGAAGTTACTAAATTAGGGTTCTCAGTGTAAAATCCCCTGTTTAGTGCATAACTTCAAGACCACCTATTTCAAGATACAAGTCTCATCTCAACTTTTGACCAACATGAAACTTGTAGAGCATGCTCTTAACTTTCGTTTGAGTACTAGAAGTCATTGATTGGATTTATAGAACTCATGTTACGATACAGACAAGTTACAGGTCATAAGATGAATGTGATTTTGGTCAACAAAAGTCAACCAACTTCCAAGCCATTTTTAACCTAGAAGGATGTTTCTCCCAAATTTTTTATGAACATGAAAGTTGTTCCTCATGATCTTAGCTTTCCAAAGAGTACTAGAAGACTTTCATCTGATTTGTAGAACTCAAGTTATGAGGCTTGCAAGTCAGGGGTATTTTGGGAAAGTGAGATTATAGGTCATAAAATTATAGGTCCATTTCACCAACTTGCACACCTTAAATGGAGATTTTTCCAACATCAAACTTGCTCCAAATGGTGTCAATTATTCAACCAAGCATTGAGAAGTCATGAGTTTGGCTTGGAATGGTGAACTCCTAAAGTGATTTTCATGGAAAAAGCCTTAAAATGAGAAAATGGGAATTAATTCATCTTGGATCATTTTTGTGCAAATGAGTACATATCTTGAGTGCAAATTATATTTCAAACACAATGACAATGATATAATTTGAATTTGGTGAGTTTTGATGAGCCATTTTCAAGCTTACTTCAAGCTTAAGTCACACTTGTAATATCAACCATTGAGATCAAACAAGGACTGGATCACAACCATTCATACTCCATACACTACCAGCAAATGATTTGAGGCTTTTTGGAGGCAAATTGGAGGCATTTTCGTGCACTTGAATAAGTGAAAAAGTGAAGAAAAGTTGGATTTGCAATTGGGCTCTAGAGGCTGCCATTGTGCTTTCTTATGATTCAAATCCATCACATAAAAGGTTTCTACCATATACAAATCATCAGGACACGAATTGGGTGAAGAATTGGAGCTAGAGCATTTTGAAAAAGTGAAGGAAATTCAAAATTTGAATTCTGAGATCCAAGCCATTTCAAGCCAAATTGTGGATTGCAAAAGCTTCTCTGAAGTTCGTGGAGTGATTCTGGACATTTATCTTTGAGCTTCATCAAGAGTTGAAGGCTCAGTGGAATTTCTCCACTAGGTATCTTCTTTTCAACCTCTCTCTCTCATTATGCCATGATTCTCTTCCATTTTTGCATATTTGAGACCTATACAATGTGTAGATCATTAATCACTAAAACGAACTGGCATTTGTGATGATTGTTGGATGAAGCTCCAAACTGTTTTGATCTGGTATGGCTTGTTCTTGTGGTGTTTTGCTCATTTCTTGCTTGATCTGTGATCTCCATAACCTATAGATGATTTTTGACCAAAATTGAGTAAGGTTTGAGAACTTTTGGATTTGAGGAGTGAAACTGTTTATCTTCGATTTGAATTTGCTGTGAGGAATTAATGGAAAATAGCCACAGATTCATGATCCTCGTGAGTTGTAGATGAATTTCCATATAAGATTTGTTGAGTTTGGTTAAGTTTTGCATCAGTGCACTGTTCCCCTCGCCGGAGAAGACGACCAGAGTCTTCTCTGTAACACCCCCTTTCTATACCCCCAAATAATCAACCAAATCATTTAGGCACTTAATAAAAATTTCATCAGAGTATAAATTAACACATGGTATAAAAGAGGCACGTCACATTATCCAAGAAATTCAAAACACATACAACACCTGCTCATAAAGATATGCAACAAAGGGTAAATCACCACAAAGGAACTTAGTCCTTAAAACCCACATATCAATATTTAGAATAAAAGCGGAAACATCTAAACATTGAATCACTTTATTCATATAAACATTATATACATCAACAGTTTAATTCAAGTCATAAGTCATGTTTACAAAACATTCACCAGCAGATACATAGACAGATGTATCACAAAAGAATCAAAACAATTCCTAACTAACCGGTGCTACATATCAGAGCCAACCAACCAAAAAGAATGAAGCCACGCTTCACAAAAGACCTCCGACAACCTACTCTGCAATGCCTCATAGAGCATCATAAAACAACAGAAGGGTGAGAAACATTATCATAACAAACAATGCATATAATTATATATTTATATACATCAACATAGAATACACATAACACATTTCTCACCGCAATTCATCACATACCTCACAATGTATATCTACACAACTAAGCATATTCGCCAATCATGCTTCACAATTCACAACATTTCCACATAAACATTTACACTTATGTGTACTTCAACAATTCACATAAACATACACAATTATGTTCATTACACCAATATATCATATGAAGATGATAATGCAACTCATAGAGACCGACTCACGACTCTATGCAGATGCAAATACGGTACCGACTCATTCAGCAGGTTCAATTGAAGAACCAAATGGAACCATCACTCGTTACTGAAGTAACTCCCCGTCGGGCCTACGATGTTCACCCATCGCTCACACCCCACATGGGCACACGATGTTTCAGGATTGCTCACACCCCACACGGGCACACAATCCGATTTCTCACACCCCACAAGGACACACGATCGTTTCTGCAGATCCTCCTAGGGATAAAAAATAAACCATCACTCACACCCCACAAGGGCACACGATCGTATATGCAGATCCTACGCGGGATCAGACACACAAGAATGTAATCATGATGCTTCACATGCATAACGACTCCACACACTCTTGAAATGCATACATATTCACAAATATATAATCATGCATTCATCACATCATACAAGTACATACAATTGTGCACATTCACATCAATTTCATCATGCATTTTCATTCAAATCAAACAAATGCACAACATTTCCAAACGGCCACATTTCACATTCCACGATTCACAATCTAAGATTCACGCCTTACGGCTACCCACAGCACATCATATTACAACAACACACAAACTGTCCATTAAGATAAGGATTAAACATAAATAAACCAAACAATCGACAATTGGATGGAAAGCGGAGGAAATCGAAGAAAATGCTGTCACATTCGCCGACCT